GCGTCTGCTCCTGCAATTTCGCGCATCTGCATCTGCACTCGCTTCTCTTGCGCCTTGGGCCGAAACGCCATATGCTAACCTGCTTCTTCCCTCCTTCACAGCGGCCGCCTCTCAACACCACAGTCAATCTGCCCACCTAATCTTTAATTCGACACTCCTCGCCTTGCGCCTCTTCCCTTCGCATTAATACCATGCTATGGCAGCTGTAATCGGCGACTACATTTCCGACCACCCTTCCCACTTTCACACCATGATAGCCTCGTCAGGCCTGTCCCGCCAGCACTCTCACGATTCGCGATACCGATCAGCCAGCCATTCTCGAGACTCACCTTCCGCCCGCCGCCCGTCCGCCAGCCCGCGATACCAACCTGCCGTCAGCACCGCGTCCGTCTCGCGCCAGATCGTGCAAGACAGGAAACCCACCGACCCCCCAGAGAAGCGAACCGCCACCACGGATAGCGCCTCACGATTTCCGACCCCTCCATCGTCCTCCTCTCCTAGCCACACCGTCGCCAACGCTGGAGCCCAGCATGCTAGCGACCGCGGCATCGCATCACAGGCTCAAAGCGCCACACACTCTGGCTCCACCACCGTCGTAGGGCCCTCCACCACCATGGCTCCCCATCAGCAACAGCCCTCGCCCGCTTCGGACGTTCAGCCAACCCTCACCACTTCGTCTCCGAACGACAGCTACCTCGTTGACGCGACGTCCCCGCTGGAACCGCCATCAGGCCAGACGATCCAGGTCCGAGACCTTGCCCATATTCAGAGTCTGGCGCGAGCCGACATGATCAACGGCAGCGGCATTTTGAACGATGCCCCTGCCCAGCAGGTCAAGTACGAGATCAGCGGCATGCCCATTGGCGACATTATCGAGATGGTGGCGGCGCTGCTCACGAAGATCACAACCACCAACGACCTGCAGCACGACGCACTGCAGCGCAACGTTGCGCACCAGCAGCAGGCCAACCAGAACGGCGAGGCTGGCAGTGGAACCCAGATGAGCCCGCTCAGTACCTCGGTGCTCGCTTTTCACGGCAAGAACGTCCCCGCCATTACAATTCTGAGCTATCTGTCTCGCATTCACAAGTACTGTCCGACAACGTACGAGGTCTTCCTCAGCCTCCTTGTCTACTTTGACCGTATGACGGAGAGGGTAAACGAGATGGTGGTCAAGAACGAGGAGCAGCGACAGGCCAACCCTGAGCCTGCGCCCGCCGAAGCTTCCAAGTCGATCGACGTGGACATGGAGGATGATGGAGAGAGCGACGAGAGCGCTGAAACAGACTCGGACCTCGCAGACGACGATGACGATGACGACGAGACGCCTTCGAGTGCGAAGCGGCGCGACAGTGAAAAGGGACCGATCATCACGGGCGCGGATCCCGGACCGAATATCGGACCTGCCACTTATTTTGTGGTTGACAGCTTCAACATTCATAGGCTGATCATTGCTGGGGTGACTTGCGCAAGCAAGTTCTTCTCGGATGTGTTCTACACAAACTCGAGATACGCCAAGGTTCGTATTTAGCGTTGACCCTGTGGAATGAACGAAATTCTAATGTCAATACAGGTTGGTGGATTGCCTCTCGCCGAGCTTAACCACCTCGAACTTCAATTTCTTCTTTTAAACGACTTCCGACTTGCGGTCCCCGTCGAGGACCTCGAGGCCTACGCCACCATGCTTGTCGAGTTTTACGCTCGCGAGGTGGTGGTGCCACAGCAGTCGCGACCCGCAGCAGCGGCCGCGGATGACGCCTAGAACGACCAGCTTGCTTTTGTTTACAACACGACGAGATTGATACCCTGATATACACATGTTTGGAGGAGAACACTCTACACGGAGAATGACGAATTTGGCGAGGTCACGGCTCAAGTTCATGGCGCGGGCGGGCTGGTGCCGGGGGCTGTTCGTGACTGAGCTGGTTGGATTTTCGTACATGGGGGCTTTGGGGGCCTCTGGCGGATTGAGCTGGGGGTGCTTGCCCTCGCATGACGGATGACGAGCTGGCGGAGCTGGAGGACTCAGCGTTGGGCTTCTCGGACTAGACGTGGGGGGGATGATGAGGCGTTGGGGCGTGGTTTTCTGCTTCTGTACTTGGGTGCTGCATGCGATGTGCGTCGTCGGCCCGCTGGCGTTGCATCCCGTTTATTTAGAACGGGCCTGCATGAATTGACAGGCGTTGACGGTTTGCAGCATGGAGTGCCGATGTGACTTGCTTTGCTAGGCACTTGGTTGTTTATGCGACACACAGTTTATCCCGTGTCTTGGGTTATTATGTTGGCAGAGTTTGGACCGGAACATGACGACATGTGACTCAACAGCACAGCTTTTCGATATGTTGCATCTGCCCTATCATGCAGCTCAGGAATATGATTCGCCATTTTGGCTTATTTTCTTTTACCTCGTCCAAAAGCCAGTAAGTGCCTGCACCAAGAAACAACCAGCCAAACACCCAGCTCAAAACGCCGTTCACCACACCACTTGCCCGCAGATTCCTCCACAGCAGGCCCCTCTCCCCACCACCGTGATCACTCCGCCGCAGACAGATTCAACCCTGGAGCTCAGCCTCGCTCAGCTCGGCGGCGCGTGGCAGACGAGCTCGATGTTGTTGCCGACGGGGTCGATGAGGAAGGCGGCGTAGTAGTTTGGGTGGTACATCTCGCGCACGCCGGGGGCGCCGTTGTCCTTTGCGCCGGGCGAGGCGAGGCCGGCTTTGTAGAAGGCGTCGACCTGGTCGCGGGCTGGTGGGGAGTTGTTAGTGGGGTTTGTTTGACTTCGCTTTTGCTGTTCGTTCGGGAAGCCGCGACAAGAGGCATTCGGAACCACGACAAAAGACATTCGGAACCACGACAAAAGGCATTCGGAATCGAGACGAAGGCTCGGAACCAAGAGAAGGGAGACTCACTGTCTGCGGTAAAGGCGACGTGGCTGAGGGCGTTGACAGAGGGAATGTCAATGGCCGTGATCCAGAAGTCGGTGATGGGCATCTCGAGGCCGAGGCCGATGGCGTTGGGGGTTGGCCGCATGAGGACCTTGTAGCCGAGGGGCGCGAGGGCTGCGACGTAGAAGGCGAGCGTCTCGTCGAGGAGCGCCAGGGGGATTGCGAGGCCGATGTGGGCGATGGGCATGTTGGGCGGTGCTGGTGCGACGTTGGGGGATCTGCAATAAGAGGCAAGGAGGTTTGATATCGGGAGGAAACACGGGATAGGCAAGGTTTCTGCAGGCAAGGATTCTGGGGACGAGGTGTTTGGGCAAGGCAGATGGCAAGGTCGAGGGGTCAAACGGCGCGAGATCGCGGGCTCTTATAGACGATCATCTACCGCAGCTGAACGGGTAGAGATGCAGTGAAATGCAGTGACGCCCTTTGACGCGGAAACACGTGAGGTGAAAAGGCCGGGTTACGCCGTCGCCGAGTGCACCAAAGACCACGGCCCATCGGAGTCACGGATATTGGGACGGCCACCAGGAGGCACCTCCCTCTGGATACATGATAGGCTAGGCAGGATAGTAAGACAAGCCCGAAACTTCGACGAAGTGATCGTTATCAAGGACCCCGCGTCTTGGCGGTGTGAATCGCGAGCAGGCAAGCAGTAGTTGCGAATAACCTTCAACCCGTCGCAGCTAGAATCTAGGCAGAAACCCCCAGAGACGAGAGAGGGGTACGTCGAAGCGGGGGGATTGAGACAAGGGCAGGCTGCGAGTGAGATGTGGCTGCAGTAGTGCCGTGGGAGCTGAGCCGGGACAACTCGGTGTCTAAGACGGCGGTTTACCCATGGGTGCGCATGTCTGTGCTTGGCTTGCTTGAGTTTAGGGGCATCGGGGTTTGGCGTCGAAGTACTGGATCGCAGCAAGGGGCTTGGGTCTGGGGGAACTCGGCATGAAAGCGATTAGATGGGTCGGCTCGACGTCGATGGCCTCTCAAGAGCATCTTGATTACACCATTCAAGCTGGCTGTCTTTTGTCCCGATTGTGTAATCTGAAGCCTTGAAGCACACCAAACGCACGTTCAAGTTCTATAATCACTGTCCTTCAATTGTGAATTGGACTCGGCACAGCACCACTAAGAGCCAATCAACATCGCACTGTATTTTCATATACACCTGGACTGCCTCGTCGCATATTGATTGTAGAGATAGATCATTGAATAATTTGATTGTCGAAAGGCTGTCCAGCATAAAGTATCCAAAGAGGAAAAAGGAAGAAAATCCGCGTCAGTTTCATGTTTTTGGCAGTACCACCTGTCTCCTCTGCCAAGCTATCAAACCGGGTATCATCAACAAGACTGCCTAACCCTCCGATCCAATCCATCCCCCATTACCACGCCGTCCGGGCGAAGAAACCCTTGGGCCACGTGCGCACAGCGTACTTGCGCGCCTCGTCCACGCCGAGCACGAACAGTCCGAAGCTCATGGGCAGGAACCAGTACTCGACAGGCACAACAGCCGTGCCAACGACGCGCTGAAACTCGGGCACATACAGCCAGAAGAGGGCCATGCCGAGGGCGAAGAGCACGGCCGGCAGCAGGTAGATGTTGCGGGTGCTCGCGTTGAAGAAGGGCGGGTGCTGGAGGAGCGACAGGCGACGGGTGCGGACGGCGAGCAGGTTGAACCACTGCATGACGACGAGGTTGACAAAGTAGATGGAGCTCGCGACGTTGAGCTTCTGCGCGTAAAAGTCCTCGTCGATCGTGTCGGGCAGCACGCCAAAGGAGAACCAGAGGTCCGAGAAGTGGATGCCGTTGCGCTCGAGGTACCAGAAGGCCATGGCGAACGAGGCCAGCGTCTCGAGCATGCCGACGACGCCGTAGGCCTGCGCGATGAGCTTCCAGTCGACGAGACGGTCCTTGCCGGGCACGCGAGGCTTGCGCACGAGCACGTCGGCCTCGGGCGCCTCGTAGGCGAGCGCGATGGCGGCGGCGGCGTCGGTGAACAGACAGATGATGATCATGAGGAAGCTGCTGAGGATCTGCGGCAGGCCGAAGAGCACGTTGGCCATGACGGGCCAGAACTCGCTGAAGCTGCCAGCAGGGAGCAGATAGGCCACCGTCTTCTTGAGGTTGTCAAACATCATGCGGCCGTAGCGCAGCGCCTCGACAATGCTTGCGAACGTGTCGTCGAGGAGCACCATATCGGCCGCCTCGATGGCCACGTCGCTGCCCGAGCCCATGGCCACGCCCACGTCGGCGGCCCGCAGAGAGGGAGCATCGTTGACGCCGTCACCCGTCATGGCCACCGTCTGCTTGCGTGCCTGGAACTCGCGCACGATGCGCAGCTTGTGCTCGGGCGTCGTACGGGCAAAGACAATCTCCGTGTAGCTCGTCAGCTGGTCCCACTGTGCGTCGTTGAGCGTGATTAGGTCAGGTCCGGACAGTACAATGGCGTTGCGCGGGATGCCGGGCTCATCGCCACCGCTGCCGACAAACGCTCCCTTGAGCGAGGGGTCCACGGTCGTCACACGCTCGAGGGCCGATACGCTGTCGATTTGCGAGGGAGGATACGTGATGATGCCGCACTCGGTGGCAATGGCCTGGGCCGTCAGGGCAAAATCGCCCGTCACCATGAAGATGCGGACACCAGCGCCGCGCAGAGTCTCGACAACGCCAGGAATCTCAACGCGAGGGGGGTCGACGATGCCGACAAGGCCGACAACGGTCAGGCCCGACTTTGCCTGTTCGTTGATGCCCGCCTCGAAGGAAGGAGACATTTCAGAACCGAGAGTCGAGCGAGAAACAACCTTGCGCGCCAGAAGAATGACGCGGCGACCCTGAGCCGACCATTGATCTTTGGTCGTCTCGAGGCTACCCCTGGCAGCCTGGTCAAGGTCACGAACGCACCCTGTCGGGCTGACATAGTGCGTTGCGCGCTTCAGGAGAATCTCGGGAGCACCCTTGATGGTCAACAGGATATCGGCAGGCTCAAACACGGCAGCCGTGTCCGAAGGCAAGGACATTGACTTTCCATCAGGATGCACAAGGCCGAGCGCCCTGATCATGTATTTGTTCTTGCTGTTGAAGGCAAGCTCGTACTTTGTTTGCCAGCATCGACGGAGTTCGGCGACAGAACCTAGCTGCTCGGAGAACCGGAGGATGGCTTGATCCGTGGCATCACCGTAGATGGTACGCTGCTCGATCGGCAAGCGACGGGTTGCGGCGTCAAACTCGGCAGCGTTACACAGGCCGGCGAGGGAACGAAGCTGGTCAAGGGCGTTGTGGGTTCCCGATGGGTTCTGGGCCTGGTTGAGGACGAGGGCATCGTGGGCCTGCTTGACCGACATGCGTTCGTTGCCGAGGGCGCAGTCGATGACGGTCATCTTGTTCTGTGTCAGGGTGCCCGTCTTGTCGGAGCAAATGACAGACACGGAGCCAAGGGACTCAACCGTCTTGAGAGACTTGCAGAGGATCTTGTTTTTGCGCATCATGTTGGCACTGATGGTCATGCTCGCTGTGACAGCCACGGGGAGACCCTCGGGAATAAAAGCCACAGCCACCGACACGCAGGATATGATGAGGTTGGGAACGTTGATCCAGTCGGGATAGTCTCGTCGGAGCCAAGAAGCCCTGGTCTCTGTTAGCCCGATATTCTTTTCCGCCCAATCTCTGTGTAGAGGTCAAGAATCATAGGGAACGCACCAGATGATTATCACAAGAACAATAACCGAAAGCATGACAGCGCAGATTATGAGCACAAAGTGAAGCACCTCGCGCTCAAGTGTCGTCAACCCCTTCTTGGGCTCGTTGGTCAGCTTGGCGATGCGGCCAAAAATTGTCTTGTCACCAGTAGCCACGACAACACCGATACAGGTGCCAGACACGCAGTGCGTGCCCTGTAGACCGATACAGCGTGTCTCGAGGTAATTTTCGCTCGTCGAGTCGACAGTAGCAGCAAGAGGAACCGATTCACCTAAGAAATCCCACTGTCAGCACGCTCTGCAACCTTGGGTCAGTCCGAGATAAAAAGGACGTACCAGTCAGAATGGAACGATCAAAGCGAGCATCAGACGAAGCACCGATGAAGCGAACATCAGCAGGCAGTTTGTTCCCCATTTTGATGGTCAGGATGTCGCCAGGCACGATCTCTTCGGCCAGCAGGGTCAACTGGGCGCCATCACGCGTCACAAGACAGTGGTCAGGCAGCATCGTCTTGATGGAGGCCATGACACGGGACGAAGACCAATCCTGCCACATGTTGAAGGCGGCCTGGATAAAGAAGACAGCGAGAAGGACGATGGCGAGGGCCAGGTTAGCCGGCGCCGGGGGCTTGCCTAGGGGCCGCCAGGCGATGAACACAAGGATGGCAGCAACGAGGAGAATGGGGCCGAAGCCTTTGAAGAAGTAGCCAAGAAACTTGCGCGTATGGTGTGTAGGAGGATCGGAGGGAGCATTCTTGCCATAGTGTGCCATGCGGCGGGCGACTTGGTCGGGAGAGAGACCTTCGGTGCGAGAGGAAGAGAGTCGACGCAGGATCTCTTCGGGAGAGAGCGTGTGCCAGTCGAGCTGTGCAACCTCTGTTGGCGGAGATGAGTTAGGGTTGGACTCAACACACGTTCTGGAGACATCACAAGAGGCATAAGACGAACCTGTTGTAGCAGCATTCACTTTCTTCTTCTGTCCCTGTTGCTTGTTGTAATCGTCAATGTCGATGGAGACAGTACGATACTGCACGGGGAGAGCGGCCGCAGCATCGATCGAGTTACGCCTCGACCGGATGGAGTGGACGGCGAGAGAATCGGTAGACAGGCCACGACGCAAGGTCGGGCGAGCCTTCTTGCCGGCTTCCTCGTCGTCATCCCAACGGATGCGTTCCGGGGCATGAGATTTGTTCTGAGACGGATCCATAGGAAAGGGGGACAATGATCACAAGTTTTTTTCCACAAAAGATCTTGAAAGTGGAAGGGATGAGAGAATAGAGAGAATAGAAAGAGGGAGAGAGAGAAGAGAGGAGAGTCAGAGAACACCGATGGAGGTTGCCGGACATGC